GAGAATAGCAGACGTTGCTTTTTAAACCTTCAATTTCTAAAGGGCATGGGAGTTACTGACCTTGTTTAGATTATTTTCCAGTCACTTCTCTGACTTCCTTTCGTAGTACAGCCGGGACACCAAGGCAGCTATTATTGTGGTGCAAAGAATGCACCCCTGGGAATCGGGCCAATTGGTTCCACATCCTAATTCTCTCCCTTCCAACTGCGGATTTCACTCTTTGCCCTCAGTTTCTCCATCTGAAAAATGGCATAGCTACCAATACTTGCCAATCGAATTTTTTCCTCTTTTTTTAAAAATTGTTGTTCAAGTACAGTTGTCTCCATTTTCCCCCCTCCACTTTCCCCCACCCCACCCATCCCCAACTCCCACCCTCAATCCTGACCCCCTTTGGCTCTGTCCATGGGTCCTGTATACATGTTCCTTCACTTGATCCTCCCCCCCTCCCATTATCCCCTTCTACCTGCCCTCCAGTTACTGTCAGTTTGTTCTTTATTTCAAAGTCTCTGGTTTTATTTTGCTTGCTTGTTTCTTTTGTTGATTGGATTCCACTTAAAGGTGAGATCATATGGTATTTGTCTTTTACCGCCTGGCTTGTTTCACTTAGCATAATGCTCTCCAGATCCATCCATGCTGTCATGAGGGTAGGAGGTCCTTTTTTCTTTCTGCTGCATAGTATTCCATTATGTAAATGTACCATAGTACATTTTTTGATCCACTCATTTACTGATGAGCACTTAGGTTGCTTCCAACGCTTCAGCACTTGGCTATTATAAATTGTGCTCCTATGAACATTGGGGTGCACAGGTTCTTTTGAATTGGTGTTTCAGGATTCATGGAGTATAATTACAGCAGTGGAATTGCCGGGTCAAAAGTCAGTTCTATTTTTAGTTTTCTGAGGAAAGTCCATACTGTCCTCCACAGTGGCTGCACCAGTCTGCATTCCCACCAACAGTGCACTAGGGTTTCCTCTTCTCCACAACCTTGCCAGCACTTGTTGTTTGCTGATTTGTCTATGATGGCCATTCTGACCAGTGTGAAGTGGTGTCTCACTGTGGTTTTAATTTGCATCTCTCTGATGGCTACTGATGCTGAGCATCCTTTCATATGTCACTGGGCTCTCTGTATGTCCTCCTTGGAGAAGTGTCTGTTCAGGTCCTTTGCCCATTTTTTGATTGAGTTGTTTGTCTTTCTGGAGTGGAGTCATGTGAGTTCTTTATATATTTTGGAGATCAAACCTTTATCTGAGGTATTACTGGCAAATATATTTTCCCATATGGTTGGTTCTCTTTTCATTTTACTACTGTTTTCTTTAAACATCCAGAAGTTTTTTTGCTAAGGACCCATTTGTTTATTCTTTCCTTTATGTTCCTTGCTCTAAGGGACATATCGCTGAAAATATTGCTGCATGGATTATCTGAGATTTTCCTGCCTATGTTCTCCTCTAGGACTTTTATGATGTTGTGACTTATATTTAAGCCTTTTATCCATCTTGAGTTTATATTTGTACATGGTGTAAGTTGGTGGTTGAGTTTCATTTTTTTTTACATGGAGCTGTCCAGATCTCCCACACTATTTGTAGAAAAGACTATTTTTACTCCATTTTATGCCCCTGCCCCTTTGTCAAATATAAATTGACCATAGAGACTTGGGTTTATTTCTGGGCTCTCTATTCTGTTCCATTGATCTATGTGTCTGTTCTTATGCCAGTGCCAGACTGTTCTGATTACTGTGGCCTTGTAATATAGTTTGATATGAGGTATTGTGATCCCTCCTACTTTGTTCTTCCTTCTTGAAATTACTGTGGCTATTCAGGGTTGTTTATGGTTCCATATAAATTTTTTAAATATTTACTCTAAATCTGTGAAATATGTCATTGATATTTTAATAGGGGTTACATTGATCTAATTTTAACAAATTAATTAATCACAGATTAAAGCAGTGGGTCATTGGTATACATGTAGAGAAGAGCTGGGCCTATCTGGATGGACCTGTTGGCACTGGAACCTCATGGGGAAGAATTTACTCCATCAGAAAAGAGAGTTGAAGTAGGAGAGACTTAGTCCATCGTTGTTGGAGAAAACAGTTGGTTTCAAGTACCTGATGCCTCTTACAGCTCACCCTTCAGCCTGACACCCATGCTTCAGTTTAACAATCATACCTGGTTCTAGTGTTGAGCCCTGGCTATAATGATGAGAAAATAAAACTAAGGAGCAGTAACATTCCAATCTGTATATGAAACAGGGGAAAGGCATTAGAGAAGCCATCCAACATAGTTAGTTGGCCTTTAATATCAGGTGCTGGGTTTAAATGCAAGCTCTGAAATTTACTACCTGTGTGACTTTGAATAAGTTACTTACAGTTCCAGACCCCTAGTGGATAACAATACTGGTATTACTAGTGCCCATCACATAGGCACTACATAAATTAGATGGCCTACATAAAACATGAGAAGAGGACCTAAAAATAACCATTAAAGATAACTATTATAAGGCAAGTCCTCTTCTCCACTTCTGCAAAGTGACTTTTGAAATGTTTGGAGTTAAGGAACCACATGGAAGAAGTGACTGAGAAAATGGTAGATAACAACAGAAATAAGGAACAGCAGAGGAAGTCAAGAGCCCCAAAACTACAGTGGTGTGGGGGTTGGGGTCCTTGTCTGGGAAGCACAGAGGACAGCATGGCCTATAGAGATGATTCTTCATTAACTCATCAATTCTTCCAATAAACAAATGCTGACCATAGGCCATTGAGCCTAGGGCTGGGAAAGCAAAGGATAAACAGACATTCTCTCTGTCCTCACAGAGCTCTACCATTCTTGTGAGGATTCTTTGTGAGTTCCTGTAAGACCTTCTAGAATCCTGTTGGTTATTTCTAGAAAAGCTATATAGTCCCGAAGGAGGCTGGGGTTCTGACAATCCCAGGGGTATAGGCCAAGTCAGAAAGAAACTCTGATTCCAGTCACAGGCCTCCTGTGGTCCCATAGGTCGGGAAAACGGCCATAGCTAAAATGCTGATATTGGAAAGACCACTTAGTATTATTCTTTATGTCGTCTTTATAAAGTCCCAGAGGATCAGTCACCGATACAAATTGTGTACCTTATATTAAACATCTATTATTTTAAATACTTACAACAGCTTTACAGAGTAATAGTCTATACCCTCTTTGTATATTTAAGTAGATTTTCAGAGAAGGGAAGCGCAAGGCACGTGTGGGAAATAGTAAATGTGAGTTTTGGCTTTCTCCAAAAGCCACACTGTTTAAAACTAAACTATCTCTCTGGAGTTTGGATGGGAAACAGTATGCTAAGGTTTACTCTTGGTGTCTTTCTTTCCTCTTTTTGTTCTTCACCCATATTTTTGAGTTATTATTGATTAAACGTATTGTTCATATGTACTGTGGTTGAATCTCCTTCATGCCCTTCATGGAAAGAAATGTGTTATAAATAAATCATGCAGTATATATAATATATACACATATGCATTTGCCTAATGATTCATGGTTTCAGTAAAAAATACTTGGCAAGTGTCAACCACAGAACAGCCAGGGTTTCACTTCTCATTTGCCAGCGTTAGGTGTGAAGCAGCAAGGTGCAGTGGAAATTGCACTGCCCCGAGAGACCCAGAGGCCCATGTGCAGGCCCAGCCACTCATTTATTCTGGGGCCTAATGACAATACATGTACTCCCTTGAACATCAGGTTTCAAATCAGTAAAATGGGGAGACTACTTCTTAGTCTGCTATTTCACCTGGACAACAAGAGATTCAAGTGTGGTTACAACTGTGTAGATATGTTCTACTTTGCAGGGTATTGCACACATTGAAGGCTTTCTAATTATATTAATTTCTCTACTCTACCCTTCATGTCTCTTTAATCCAGAGAATTTCAATGAATTCAAAAGCCTGACCCTGGGCCTACCTTTCCTTTTTCTTCCCCTTCTGCTTCTGTCATGTCATTTCTTTCCTTTCTCATCTGGGAAATTCTGAGTTTTCAGAATTCCCACCTGGGAGAAGGGGCTTATGGGAAAGAGGCCTGTATACCAGAACCACCCCAGTCATATTTTGATTTTCCTCCTTGGAGTCTTGTATATTTGCTTAAACTGAGACACATATGCAGACATATACTCAGATATGAGCCTGAGCACACTTCACATATGGCCTGGACATACACAAACACAGGCCTTCAGGCTACTCAGAATCTAACGCTGGCACCTGTGTTTAAACAATCACATACACACACAAGAGTAAAGAACTCAAACAGCTATAGAATTCCACATCAATGTGCATATCACCCTTGCAAAATAAGCATTCTTGCCCATCCGGATATGATCACACAAACACACCTCCTCTTCTTACACACAGACACTGCCAAGAACACATAGAGGCATGTGCACAAATATATGCATCTACTTTCACTAGCACATTAAGACCTAGAAACACACCCAGGCATGTTCAGCAACTCCAGCCGTACTCAGACCAAAATATACACTCTGAAACACTCAGGCGCAAACACATTTCTGCATGTGGCCGCATTTCCAGTTCTGACAACTGTATTTTCCAAATGTCCTCATTGCTTCCTTTGATGCACCATTCTGAGAAAGCTGCGTGAGTGTGCTTTTCTGAGAACTCACCTTACCGTGACCCACCTTAATCCGAGGGGCATAATTTTCAGTGAGAACATCTACTCTTTCATAAATGTGGTCACAGAGCGATGCCCAACAGGAAGAACAGTGTGTGCTCCCCACCTTGAATCATCTCACAGTCCCCTGAGGGATTCACTGTCTCATCAAACGATGCTCATTTGATGCAGAAGAAACCTTGGCTTCAGCTCTTGCCATGTGGCCACCCTGGCTGCATCAGCGCACGTTTTCCTGGGATCGTCAAGAAGTGCTGAGCTCCAGAGGCCACCCTGCCCTTCTCGCACCCCAGATTGCTCATTATGAGACCGGGAAGATGGACGTCTCTCCCCCATTACAATAAGCACCACTTTCAACCAAATTATTTTAATGCCACCTTTATGACTGTCATACCTTAGTAGGTAATATATTTAGAATGACATCAAGTGACAAAGTGACAAAGTGCATTTTACACATTTGCTTGAAAGACAGTAGTTAAATAATGCATATTTCCAGCATATCGCTGACAACCTTATTTAGTTCAAGGTTTATAAGGAAGACATGTAAAATGAGAACTGAATTTATAAAAACCAAATATATCAAGGACTATTAGTTAATAAATAGAACTCGCTAAAAAATGACCAGGATATTTGTGAATATGTGTTACTCAGGTTTCCTTAGGAAACTGGTGCAAGGTTTTAACCTTTGTAAGGAAACTGACTTGAAGTGGAGGGAGGATCTGAATCATCATCGTGTAGAACTTAAATTGTATTCAGTAGAAAAGGGAAAAGTGAGAAAAGGCTCAGTTTAGTTGAAAGTACCCCTACTGCTGTGTTTTAAGTTGGACACAGTGTAAAATACAAGGTGCTTTCCATTCCAAAGGCTCAGGTGAAGAATTACGTCCTTTTCTGATGTCACAGGGGCCAGTGTCTTAGTTATAATTCAATTGTGTGGAGTAACAGTTGAGTTGACTGTCTCTATCATGAACCCCTTAGCTGAGTTGGTTAAAACATCCAACTGGATGGAGATTCTGTATTTCAGCACAGTATTTACTCCCTTTGCACTGTGAACCCCATGAGATCAGCAGGCCTGTGTACCTTGTGTACCACTGAATCACCTTCCCTGAGTGCAGTGCCTGCCATGTCGCAGCTGAACAAGTAGTGAGTCCATGAGGCAAGAAGCACTTGAGGAGTATTTGATCCTCAGATGGGGGTTGTTGCTTCACGTTGGCTGCTTTCTGCATCCTCTGTTCCTTCTGGACTCCACGATTTACCATCCAGCAAGGCTTTTCTGAGTCGTCTCCAAAAGATGTGCCGCCCCAGGACACTGTCCTCCCACTCCAGGTAAGTGTTCCTACTGAGAAGGCGATACAGCTCCACCTGCTGCCGGAGCAAGGACTTCTCCAACTTCTGCAGGACAATGAAGATGATGCCAGCATGACTGCTCAGAAACTGCCAGGTCTGGGCAATCTCATACTCAAAGATGCACCAGCGGCTCTGGATGAAATGCTGGGACACAACAACAATAACCTTGCGGCTTTTGTGGAAACCTTCCTGGATGATGTTGGCAGCGATGGCTACACCAGGAATAAAGTCTCTGTAGTGAAGGCAGAGCTGAAAAGGGGGCACTCCCTCCTCCAAGTTCTTGACCAACTCATTCCTCACCCAGTCCTCATCCTGGCTTGAGTAGATAACAAAGGCATCATAGGTGCACTCACCTCGGCCATACTTTTTGCAGCCAACCAGAAGCATCAGGTGGAAATAGAACTTATAGATCAGAACTGCTACCACAGATACCACCAGTACAGAGAGAACTGACACGCTAATGATAGTCTTGCTCATCTGACAGGTGGCATTTCTAAAACTGAGCACAGACATACCCTGCATCTCTAAAGGTTTCATACACATCATTTGCTCAGCTCCCACCAAGAGATTTCTGTGGTCCTGGACCCACTGCAGGAAACCCATGTGTTCACAAACACAAGCAAACTGATTCTGGGTAAGATTTAAGGAAACTAGGCTACTTGGTAAATACTGTAGTTCTTGACTCTTGGCAGCCACTATATGATTAAAACTGTGATCCAGAATCTGGAGAGGGAGATGTTTATAAGAAAGTATATCCAAAGAAAAGAGGTTGTTGTGACTCATATTCAGCAACTGAAGTTTAGGGAGTGAGCCAAATGCCTCCTGGGACACTTGTTCTAGTTGACAGTTAGAGAGGTCCAGGAAGGTCAAGTTCGTCAAGTCTGTGAAGATATTTGGAAGGAAGTCATCCTCAAAAGTATTGCCAGCCATTTTCAAGACTTGGAGGCTGACCAAGCCTTTAAAGATGCCCCGGAAGACAACTCGTGTGTTAGTATGAGAAATATCAAGGTAAAGGAGTTTTTTGAGTGATAGGAATACTGAAAAAGCACTGGCCTGTTTCAACTGGGAATTCTGGAAATCCAGATATTCTAGTTGCTCTAAGCCCACAAAGTTTGTACTCATGGTAATAACGTCGTTGAAGCTCAGATCTAAGTGTTTCAGTCTGGTTGTCCCAAAATCATTGTGACGACAGCAGCTTTTAAAACTCAAGCCATTTCTACTGAGATCTAGAAACTCAAGGAGTGGTAAATCAATATCAGTAAAAAGGGATATACCTTTGTTGTTAGTGAAAACAAACTCTTTGAGAAAGGCAAGCTCCAGTATGGGAAAATTTTTCAAGTAACAATGAGTCAATTTTAAGTTTTGCCACTTGAAATCTTTAGGAGGAGCTCCTAACCTGACCAAACGGAGATTCACCAGAGAAATTGTAGAAACATTTGCCAAACAATCCAAAAAGCCAAGGTCATTCTCTGGGAAGTCATCAAAGTATGCTATTCGGAATTCTTCAGTAGTCAAATTGCACAGTCCCTTCAGGGCAGATTTGTCCAAATTTGGTATGATCCTTTCATTTTTAAATTCTCCCAGAACCAACCGATTGATTCTTAAGCCAGCCAGACCCTGAATACAAGTTTTCATTATATCTGAACTATTAAAATTACTTCTCAAAGTCAGTTCACGGAGCTCGATTTTTTCAAAGGCACCTGGTTGGATAAAGTCTAAAGGGTTGAGGGACAGATCTAGAGAGAGTTTGAATGCAGGCATCTGACGTAGAACCCGCACGTCTCTGTGAGAAATATTTTGGATGTTGTTATTAGAAAGGTCCAAGCGCTCCAGGTTAGTCAGGTTAGAAAAATATTCGGGTAACTTGAAGGAATGGATGAGATTGTGAGCCACATTAAGCTCCTTCAAGGTTTTCAGGTGTCCAAGGGGCAAGACCTCCAGAGATGCCAGGTTTATCTCCACAGCCACCAGTGTCTGTAAACTTGATAGTCCAGAAAAAGCTCCCGCGGCTAAACTCCGTATAGGGTTTCCCGTCAATATCAAGGTGGAGAGATGGTTTAGGCCTTGATATGCATCATCTGCAATCATTTCGATGTCACACCTACAGGAAAAACAGATACAGATTATATGTTTATGATGGATAGAAAGCCCCAAATGGAAAAACGTCCCCAGTCACCTAGCTTTGACATGCCATATGATTGTGGTAGGCAAAGACATCAAACAAACCAATGAGGGCATGAACAAATAAGAAGCTTCACAGCCTTGGTATTAGCGTACTAGCCACAATGACAATCTGTTTTTTTGTCATACTAGGTATACATGTTAAGCAGAGATACCACATCCATCAGTAGGAAATCAGTTAAAGATCAATAACTGGAGCACATAAAGAACGTATGGCTGATAGAGTATGTAATAGCCTTTGGATCGACTTTTGCCATTCCCTGCCACAGGTAACTGATCGTACATCTGATCGGTACAGATGATACACATAGTTGTTAGTTGTTAGGCAGAATAAATGATTGATAAATGTCAATTTCCAAGATATAGGAAGGTATATACCTAAGTGCCACAGATACCCTTAGTGGTGATGAAAGGTTGTAGTTATCACAGGTAAGTGCTAGTAACAGGTGATAGGGGTGAGTTTTATGGAAGAAAAGTCTGCTAAGAGAGGCTACACCCAGAGAGCAGACTCAGACAAAGGGGATCAAAGCAGGTTTCTCTGAGAACACTTAAGCTGAAATCTATAAGATGACTAGGGATTAACAGGGGTGTAAGATGCGGTTATGGAGAAAGGTTACAATAAGGCCCAAGGCTTTCAGACCAGACAAAGGATTTTGAATATACCCCAAGTGAGGTGGGAGCCATGCTATAAACAACATTCATCAAGGTGTCCAAGACATAAAGCTTTTATCCAGCCAATAGGCAGGGAGCTTATGGTCAACTCTTCCTGGCACAGCAAGTGCCTGCCAGTTATAGTTTGCAAATGAGCCCTTTCCAATTCCAACCAGATTACATTTGTAATGGTCCTGCTTGCCCTGTCCCCTTCAAGAGGTTCATGGGTAATAAAAGCATTTCAGTTCAAGCTTTTATTGTTGCTTGGTAACGGGATAGAGTGTAGTGGGTACAGTAGAGAGGACAACGGAAGACAGATCCAAGAAATGTATGTTCTGGTGTCTCTGCCTGTCCTTTCATATTGCATGATCTTGGGAGCTCCTTTTCCCCTCTGCCGCATTTCTAAATGAGGCAACTAAACATGGTTGTTTCTCAAGTTGGTTTTAGTTCTATGATTCCATAGCCCACAATCTTGTGCATATTATCACTCTATGCATCGGGCAAGACTAGAAGAGTCTTGCTGTGTCTCTGTCTCATCAAAGGGTTCTCACCACTTTAGAGAAGTAGAGTGCTAAGATAAAGAAAGCATTGAACTTGGAAGCAGGAGATGTGAACTTGAATCTCTGCTTTGTAGCCAACAAGATACATGACCATAGATAAGTTACTTAAACTCTCCAAGCCTCAGTTTCCTTGTCTATAAAAAGAAAAAATTATATCAATAGGATAGAAAAAAATAGCTTCTTGGTCCATTGCAAAGCATCCTTAGAGAACTAGTTGAGTTACTGTATGTGAACATTGTAAAGCAATAGGGATAGGCAAAGAATATATATTATACTATCATTTGTCCTTGCCCTAATTCAGAATATCTTACTGGCTAGCCAGAGGGGAAGCTGGCCTCTCTTTGAGCACATATTTAAGGCTCTGAGGGAAGTGTCTTGGGTAGGTGATGAATCAAAGATGAATTATAAGGGACATTGTTTGATGAAAAAAAACTACTTATTTTAAGAAAGGGGAGGGTCGGTCTGTTGACCTCAGTAGAGTTCTTGACAAGATTCTTAGTGAGAAAGCTGAAGTTTAGAAAGTAATGGAATGCTATAATAGTAATAATGCTTTATACTTACAAAGTCTCCTTTATTAAGGTTTTTCATATATATAGCATATTAATATTCATTATCACATTGAATCCCATGGGGTAAGTTTCATCATTTCTATTCCACAGCTATGAAAACTAAGACTCAGGGGAATGAAGGGACACGCCTCAGGCCATGTGGCTGTAAATGTTGGCGAGGACCTAGCTCAGGTCCTCTGACCCCACAAGGCTCTATAAACCACACCACTGCCTTTAAAACACCCAGTGTTTCCTTTGATGTGCTCTATCATGAGGTTGGAATATGAAACATCAGGTGCTCATTCTTATACAGAAATATCTACTCTAGAAGAGTGTTTTCATACTATGCTGTTAGTCTTTATTAGGACTTTCCATAATAAAAAGCCGTGTATGAAATACTTCTCTATTTTTTCACAAACTGTTAACAGAGAATACAGTTTATTATCTAGTCCACTAGCTAAACAAAGTTCACTATTTTTAATAAGGCTCCTAACCAATTTTAAGATTCAGGCCCCCCCCTCCCCAAATAATGATAATAACTGAACCTGCCCTAATGGATGATAGAGTCCCTGCATCAGAAAAGAAAATCTTAGTCACTGTTCACTGCCCACAGCAGATGTTTTCCTCTGATCTTGTCATCTTTCTCCTTGTGTCACTTGTAGCTTCCTAATGCACTATCCTCTACTTTACTTTCAATATTCCAGACATTATTTTAATCCTACCCATGAAATTGGCCTTGACTATTCAGTGCAAAAAAGACCCCTTTCTGAAAAACACAATGTGTTGCCTCTCGTTTGCTTATCGCCTAGTGTTGTACGTTGCCACACTTATCTCATGTTCAAAATCCAAAATCAAAATCAATGATATTTGTTGAATGCCTATTATGTGCCCAGCACCATGCTCAGGATTTTAACAAATTAACTCTTTCAAGTGGATATACCCTCCTTGATAGCTGGGGTTAATTATATATCAATGTACTCTTGTTTCTAGAAGAGCATTCAACATATAGCAAGTGGTCCATAATACTTGCTGATGAAAGAGTTTGAGTCAATTTCCTCTCCTGACTTAAAGGAAAATTCAAAGATAGGATTATCCTTAGAAACTCTCTGGTTTAACTACTCATTTCCACAGATTTTTATCTGTGAAACTGAGAAGTGTAGATAGCAGGTAGCTTGCCCAAAGTTGTATAGCAATTAAGACATCTATTGAATAAATGAATAAGTGAATGAAATGATAGAACAATGAACATTTTACCTTGTGCAGTGTCTAAACACTCATTCATTACCTGGATAAATCCAGCACCTGCAGCTCTGGGAAGCTGGAGAAGCTATGGTTGCCTAAACACCTCAGGGGGTGAAAGCTCAGGTCCAGTGTCTTGATGGATGTGGAGATGTTACCAAGGATTTCGTAGAACTTCAGCTCCATGCACTGGTAAGTGATGTTAGGAGCCACCTGCAATGACCGTACATTAGAAGCAGTGTCTTACAGTATGCACTGCAACAGACCTTTCCCCTGCCTAGGCCAGAGTCTGAGAGGCCTCTAGTGCAAGCGCAGGGACCAGTCAGTCTTCTTTCATCCATTCCTCATCGATCCATCCATTTATCTACTCACTTCATACTTCTAAAACATCTTACTCTAGATTAAGAAGAACACCTACCATGTACCCAATGTTCTAACCCCTACTATAATAATAGCAGCAGTTAGCAAGAAGCAGTAGAGTCTAGCGATGAGCTGAGGCTCTGGAATCCGAAAGCATGGGATTTCACCTCAGCTCTTCCATGTGGTTTAGGGCAAGACTTTGTTTTCTAAGTAACACCCCATTTTATACAGCCTGGGGAGACTGCCAGTCAAAGTGCCCAGACCTACCTTAGTCATAGCCCAAGTTTTGTCAATTGCTTCTGCCCCTTGACTTAGTGACATTTGAGCAGGTGATACAGAAATGGGAAAGAAATCTTGGAAGTGCGTGGACTCCGATGGTGGTGGAACCTAGTAAATAATGTCAAGTGCTTTACTCGGCCTTGGTTCCTGTGTTGGTTTCTATTGTATTTTCTCAAATACTTTGTACGCCTTGTTCTCTAAAGTCCCGTTTAATTTCTGAATTCTCTGAACACACAACACCTGACTATTTAGTCAGGGACACTGACTTCTCTTAGATCCTCAATTTTTTTTTTTAAAGGGGCAACAAAACACAATAGTCATCCAGTGTGAATGAATCAAAATTATACCTATTTTTTGACAGATCAGCAAAAAATGGTTTTTGGCGTGCCACAGAATTGTAGTAATTAGTTTATGTGTGCTGTGAGAGGACAAAGGTTGAACATTGCTGTTGCTTAAGCCAACTAATTCTGACTTTCTGTTCTTAACACCAACAACATCTGTTAAAAGGATTAAATGAGATAAGGTATTTAAAGAGATTATCTCAGAGATTATTACAGCGTGAATGATCAATACACGTTACCATTTACTATTATTAGTTGTTATTAATTCTTTACTATATACCAGTGTATTTGTTGTTATGTGCTTTAATTTAATTTTCAAATAAACTTTTTAGAGAAGGATTCGGAGATATAAGAGAATATGCATAAAGTCTCACAGGGCCCACGTGCAGGTCCTCACTTTATTCACGTCTGTTTAAAGGTTAACCGGAGCTTCCCGGACTATCTTCACTGTCTCCGAGAGGGCGGTGCCGGGCACTCTTCTCTTACCCTCTTTTATCCGCCTTCGTAGGAAATACCCCCGTCTAACATTATGCCGTCCACGGGGCTGCTCCAGATTATTGTTCATCTCCCTTACCCAGTTGTAAGGTCTGATGGTCTCACTCTCTGCTATGTCCTCAGCACTCAGAACGGTTGCCTGGAAAGTGGTCGATGCTTAATAAATATTTGTGCAGTAAGTGAATGAATAACTGATTGAATGGAGGTGTGTTTAAATCCCAGTTGTAGGCATTTTGTGTTTAGTGTTTGGAGCAGCACAAAGACCCACGCGAGATGTGGCTCCAGGCCTCAGTGAACTCACAGTCTGGAGTAAGGGTTAACACAGGAGCACAAGTCACACTACTGAAAGGGGCCAGTAAACCAGGCTTGAAAAATATTTCCTCTGGCTCAGAAAACACAGAGATCAATTATGGTTCGGAAAATAAGGGAGATCAGCTCTGCATCCAGGGATGGTAGAAGGCTTCTGAGAAAGAGATGATTTCCAGGTGGGCCTTAAAAGGATGAGCGAGATTTAGATACACGAGAAGAGGGAGAAGGGACAGCACTGTGAAGACGGAGGGGCGACGAACTGGGCCGTACCAGCCGGCATGTGGGCGGAGCGGTGAAACCCCGAGCCTGAGGGGAAGCCAGGGCTGGATAAGGAGGCCCTTCTCCTTTGTCTTGTGGAAATACTTTCAAATCTTTTGACACAAATTGTGCGACTACTGTGTGCTAAGAACTGAAATACAGTGATATATAAAACCCAGCAATGACCTTGCCCTCTTACAACTTCTATTTCAAAGGAAAAGAACATGAACAAATGAGCAAATACATATAACACAATCAATGCCCCTTTTTTATTACAAAATCATAAGCATGTAATTCTGTAACATAATAATATCATACTGAAGCACACCATATGACATTGTAGGAGAAATGTTCAAATTGCTGTCTTTGATAATAATAAATAATAAATAAATAATAAAACCACACTCAAGCAGGTGTCACTTCTGACAGACCCTGTGTGTGTATCTATATATACACCATTGTGTGTGTGTATACACACCATTATATATATATATAGACACATGCCATTGCATATATCTATATAACACACCTATATGTATATATGTATATGTATATAAAATGGCATGTTATAAAAAAACGGAGCGGCATGAAAGATTAGAGGCAAATATTGGGGTGGGGAGCTAATATTGAAGATGAGGTGATCAAGGAGGACTGCCCAGAGGTGGTGACACTGCACAGACATCTGAATGAAATAAAAATTGAGTCATGAAAAGTGTTAGGGCTGCCCTGTCCTAGGTGGTAGCCACTAGCCAGTCACACAAGGCTACTGAGCATGAGAAATGTGGATAGTCTAAACTGAGATAGTAAACGTAAAATATATACTAAAGGCAGTACCAAAGAAAGAATGTAAAATATCTTATTAATACTCATAGTTTAGTATAAATTACATGTTGAAATATTTTGAATATATTGGGTTTAAAAAACTATGTTTCAGTTAAATGTACTATCTGAATTAAGTAATGTCATGAGGCAGGCCTACATGATATCACCACTGGGCAGCACTGATCTGGCAGAAAATCATTCCAGCTGGAGAAAATAGCCAGTCAAAGGCCCTGTGCTAGCATACGGTCCTGATAGCAATGGAGAGTTACTGTATTTTTAAAGAGGGTAGTTTGTTAGAACCAAGCCTCAGGAAAAAACAGCAGCAACAAATAAATAACAAAAGAAAATGTTCAGAGTAGATTAAAGGAAGGGGCTATGGACTCGGGAGAGTAGTCTCCATTCAAGAGTCAAGGCCAGGGGAACTGAGGACCTGCCCTAGGTTGGCACTGAGGGGAAGGGCAGGCGTTGGAGACAGAAAGACTGTAAGGCAGAAGGAAAGGGAGTACCCAGAAATGGGTGTGATTTTATCCAGGGATGACCCTGATTGAAGGATCTCTTCCCCTCAACCTAACAGCAAGAGAGTCACAGAGAGGGGGACAAGGTGTAGGGCTGTGGGCAGGGAATTGGGGAAATAGAGGACTCCAAGATAACAAATTCACCTGTTACACATTAAAGTCTATTTCCCCCAGGCCCTTCATTTCAGGACTCGAGCTGGTTACAGTTTTGTTGAGTTCCTGACCCCGCCAACACCCTCAGTCCTCTGACTCTTTGGGTGTTACTGTGGGATTCCAAAGCAGTTGTGAAAACCAGAGATCCATCATGAATGAGATTACGAAACAGCTGGTTGATGTTTCACAAAGAAAGAAAACATTGCATTGGCTGACATTTTATTTCTTTTTTTTTCCACCCTCTCTTTATTTCTCCCTCTTTCTCTATTTATCTCTCTCCCTTTTTAAGTCTATTTTCTTTTTGTCCTTTGGATAGAACTATGACCAGGTTCAGAAGTATGAAATCCACTTAGAAAGTTTCTTTCTACGAAAAGACAAAAAAAAAATCTCCGAGATTGAAAGGAGCAAAGTGACTGCTTAAAGCTGAGTACAGACCACCAGCAGAAAGAAATGACAGGAAGCAGGCATCTTCCAAGTCTCTACTGAAGTAGGTATTATTCCCATTCTTTTAGAGATGGGAGAACTCGTCTCAGAGAGGTTTTATAACTTTTTCAAGGTTACACAGCCCGGAAACCTAAGAACAGTGACTTTAAGCAGGTCTATCTGATCTTAAATCTTAGATGGGACAGGGTATGGGCTGCCTGTCAGTGCCTTATAACCAGATTTATTTGGTCCCTGTGGCTTCTCAAGTCTTTAAGGTAATTCGAGTCCTTTTTAGAAATGAAACTAACCAGGGCATATAGTAAGAAGTTCTGGGCAAAACGCAGTTTTTCAGCAGCAAGACAAAGCGCACAGGAGGTGAACAGACCCCGAACACATACCTTCACGTAAGGGTCCCAGCTCTCAGGTCTCAGGCAGGAGAGGAAGGCCATGGCTGGGATCAGAGTCCCAGCCAGGCGGGTGGCAGACATCATCCTGGCATTTTCTGCAACCAGAACCGGCTCTGCGAAAGCATGACGAGCTATAACTGCCTTCCCCGGGACAGCCTCAGGGGCACTGCTCTCTTCTCTCCCTCAGTCTGGTGCCCCAGAGCAATTAATGTATTCAAAGCAGCGCTGGGCTAGGGGCAAGAGGAAGTGAGAGTGGCAACCTTAGCATTCTGGACTTTTGTTTCTCTAATATTTCTCTCCCCTTTCTCAGGAGGGGAAGTTAGAAAAAGAAGCAAGTGTCTGAAGACCAGTGGCAGGACGAACAGCAACAGGAAGCTGGCTCTCATCCCAGTAAATCACCTGATCTCTCAGCATTCGCGAACTTAGGAAAGCAGTCAGACTGGTCCATCTGTGTAACTGTTTAGGATGGTGGCTTTCCTATAAGGTTTCAGTAGTGAAAACTTTCTGTATTCCTTTACTAGAGCTGCCATAGCAAAGTATCACAAACTGGAGGGTTTATACGACGGAAATTTATTGTTTCTGGCAGCAAGAAGTCTGAAGTGTCAGAGGGGTTGATTACTTTTCAGGCTCTCTCCTTGGCTCGCAGATAGATGGACAGCCACGCTCTCCCTGGGTGTGCACGTGGACCTCCCTCTGTGCGCTCCTGTGTCCTAATTTTCTCTTCCAATAGGCACACCAGTCATACTGGATTAGGGCCTTAATGTATGACCTTATTGTACCTTAACTGCCTTTTCAAAGACCCTATCTCAAAATACATCCACCTTCTGAGGTTAAGTCTTTAGCATATGAATGGAGGGGGTGCACAGTTCCGCCCACAGCTCCATCCACCCTGGGAAAGAAACTCCTGTCTGTGCAACTGATGCAAAATAAAGCTCCAGGGACGCAGAGTTTGAAAAGTACAGAAATGGAGGGAAAAGATTAGATTGCAGAATCAAATGTACTGAAACACAAATCCAAGATGGGTGATTTATGCCTTTATGTCATTGGTCAAGGCATGTGAAGTACCAAGTCTTAATTTCTGGCCTGAACAATGGAATAATAGTTTTAGATCACAACAGAGGCTGAAATCTATGAAATTCATAGACTTAAAGCCATGTGGCAGGAGTCAAATGATAGAAGCCACTAAGCCTTAGTTTTTTGGTCTTTAAAATGCAGATAATCACATTTGTTTTGAATGATCGTAGTAAGTTAATTTACATAAAATGCCCAGTCTAGGGCATGGTTCATCTGTATATCCCATAAATTGGTAGCTATTGTGGTGATTAAAAATATGAATAAAATGGGAATAAATATGTCCCTCCAAGAATTGTCATGGAATTAAATAAACGTATTTGTAACGCTTTTACAACAGTGCCTGGGATGTTGCAATACATGTACATTTCTGTTAAATGAGAACATAGTTTAAAATGCAGACGTTACTGGTATTGTGTCCTAGATAGTTCTATCAAGATGTCCTGTGGGTACCCCAAATCCAACATATCTGCAATCAGGTGGTGAGGGAGCATGTCATAGGGGACTGAGCACCAGCTCTTGTAGGCTTCTTCCACACAGCTGTACAATTAAGCTAAAAGAGTCCCCATGTCAAAACTTTGCTTTAAGGGTTCATTGAGACCACGTTAAGGTCTCAGAGCAGTGCCTGGCCCACGGTAGGTGCTCGATAAAGTTTAGTTTTCTGGAAAGTGAATGCCATTTCATGTCCACATAGTCACCCGAGATGGGAATCTCTTTGGCTTCCTCCTTTCTCATGTATATTAACTATATTTTTCTTATTTTCTGTATTCTTGATGCTCTGGCCCAGGGGTTTGCTGAGGATAGACTGCCCCTCCCAGGGCTAGCCCATTCATAGAGATAGCAAGTGATTTCCCTGGAGTGCAACTTTCATATGCAAACTAACCAATCCAAAGCCCATGGCTGAGCCACCTCCTCTATTTGGCTTTAATGCTCTAGGAGGCAATATTCTTCTGCCCTTATCATCAGAGGGCCAGGTACCAGGCAGATATAGAAAGCTCCTAAACTGCCCCTACCCCCGCCACAGAGCCTGCTAAAATTATTCAGAGTAGCCAATCTTAGACCTGCTTACCCTGTCTTTCCTTGCCTTCCCCGCAGAAACCACAATGAATGCTCCTGCCCATGCCTCGCCCTCTCCCCTTCTGCCTCCTGAGAACCCCCAGTGCTTCCCCATATGGCCCTGCATAGTATGGTGTGCCCCCTCCTCTTGGGAACGGTGAGTAACAACCTTTCAATGGTAGTCATTACTTGATCTATACTTCTCACCACACCCCAATAGTAAGACCTACATTTTAAAACAAAACATTCTACCAAGTGAATGTTTTTTATAGAGATTTTTTTCTATAAAATAATTGTAAAATGCCCATCTTTATTTCTATTTTTATTACTCCCCTTTCTTGTCTTAGGTTAGCACAATACACTGTTGTTGATGGGTTGCCCAGGGACCTGACTCACCTCTTCCAGTGTCTCAACTCTAGCAAGTCACCTTTATCCGGAAATTAAAGCTATCTTTCTCAAGTCCAAACTGACTTCCCATAATAATAATATCATAATAGTGTCCTGAGGCTGTGCACTGCCCAGACCTCAAGCTTGTTGGCCTACCCCCAGCCCACTACACACACACACACCCCCCACTCCATAAGAAGAAGAAAGTGTGTTATTTCAGGCCAGACATAACTAGCCCTTGTAACGAGGACACAGCCCTTAAATGAATAGAGTAATATACATGTGTAATGGTGTAAATCCTCTTTCTTCTTGCATTTGAAAGAAAACCCTTTGACAGTCAAGATGAGGCCTGAGAGAAGGGGTTCAAGACAATCTCCTAGACTGTGTTTTATGAGATAGTACTACATGATTAAAAGAATTTATGCTAGTCTAACCTTGTAAAGAATGTTCATTTTTTATGGGATTACCACACTGCCATTTACTGACCTGAATCAAAGATATCTTGGCTCTGTGTGCCTCTTCCAGAAAATGGGCTATGTAGCAAATACAAAAGGGAAACTTTAAGCCCTGGTTGTTTGCTTTGGTCGATGGACCCACCACTGCACTGTTATAATGAGATAAGACACCAGGGGTTGGCTACCATCCTGAGCCCATAATCTCCACTGCATTGCAGTCGTAATGACACCTTGGGCACAGTGTAGAGACTCAGCCAAGGGCATGGGAAGCGACTCGGTTTTCTAGAAACCCTCTTCACGTGGAGCAAGGTCGACGCAAGACCAATCATCCTGAGTCAGTGGAAGGATCCTATCTTAACCAGCATTCTGGAAAATGTATTCACTATTATTTGGCAGGTACTGCAGAGTCAGGACTAAATAATGATAGAACAAAACTGACCTGTGTTAGATTAGGCTAATTGCTGTAATAACCCCCAAGCTTTAGTGACTTAACATAATAAAATTTTATTTCTTGCTCGTGAAATTCTCAGTGAGGAGACTCCTGGTCAGAGGTACTCTGACAAGGGTTCACGGGCCCAGGCTCTTTGGCTTTCACTCTGCTGCCATTCTCAGCACGCAGCCTCCGAGTCTGCCGCACTGTGTAAAAAGAGCGTGGACCAGACACACAGATATCAACTACCTCTGTCCGGAACGGGCACGCCTCCTCTCTGCTTCCACTCCACTGGCCAGAACTAGTCCCAAGGCCACACCCAGTGGCCAGGGCTCTCTCTCTATCCTGAGTTTCAAGCCTCTCACCCCGACCTGAAAATCACACACACGTGTGCACACACATGCGTGTATGAAAGCACAGGGTCACTGGTGGGTAACACTTCACAACACCAATTATATTCCGTACGATGAAAGGAAACACGCGTCTTTGTTGTTGATCAGTGGGTTTTCTGTGTCACAAACCTAGTAACCTGGAGTATCTGTGAAATGATGAAAAGAAAATAATGAGGGCGCAAACACAGCAGAGCCCGGCTTAGTGCAATGAGGCCCCCTCAGTTTGGCATGTCTAAAAACCAAGTCTGGTTCTACCCGACAATTCTACGTTTCACATTTTTTCACATGTTAACGTGTCTCATAGATGACAATATATTGCCATTATAATTGGCAGAGTTTTCTTTTTCTTTAACAATGGCAAATTAAGTAATGGTGCTTTTTACAGGCTATAGTATCTTATACTTAATGAAGAAAAGTTTGTCACTAAGAGGAAGAGGAAATACAGGCTCTGTTCAAGAACAAAAAGGAAACAAATGGTTAGACAGAGAATAAAGGGATCTGTTTCCTCAGGACACCTTAGGGCATGTACTCAACTAATGTGTATTTTGCCTCTAGAAAGGGAAATAGAATCTCAGTGGTGCCTGTTTTGACCTGTGTGAGTCTCCTTTATCCTTGGATACCCATTATCAGTTGTGTCTATTAACACGCCATGGACCAGTGTTCCTATGGTCTATAGTATAGAATTGCTGCTCTTAAACAGAGGCATAAAGGGTTCAGTATTCTCCTAATCCGTGTGACTAGACTTCCTGTCTCCAGGGCTGGGTCCTCATGTTGAGCACTGCCCTGTGCATCTCAGAAATTTTCTCCCTAATACCCCTAGTACCTGGGGCAAGTGAGTGCACCCCCACAAGGACTAACAGACTAAGTAATGCCTACTCCTTGCCATCCCAAAATGTGTGTGATGTTTCCTGTGTTATTTTAAAGTTATGTTGAATTCCCCGTGTCTGTATTGTCTCTCCTTACCAGTAGAATTGAAACTGCATGAGGGTAGAGGGTTTGTTCAGTGTTCACAGGTATTGAGTGCATGGGTAGGTGCTTAGTAAATAGTTGATGAATGAATCAACAAATATCTGAATTTGTTTTCACCATGTAGCTGGCATTTTACAGTACTTATCATCTTTCCACATTAAGTAATGTAACTCTCTTATAAGATAAGGGATTATTCTAGGGCTTCTCTTTACTGTTGTACCTTCTAATATTCCTTGGGATTACCTGGGCCCCGAGTTAAGCTACACAGAGAAGCAGAGACTCATAGCAAGTACATTAGGATGAAGGCTCTTGTTGCAGTAAACACCACCCTTTTCCTGGGGTAGAGAAATTCTCTTTGTCCCTTTTAGTCCTGACCCTGAGGCAGAAGCTGGTTCGTTATGGCCAAGAGACTCCTGCCTCTCTTCTGTCTCCGTACTTCCCCAATTTCCCAGTAACTCTTTGCTTGTCCATTCAGACCCAGGAAAAGCATGCTGTAATGTGGAGAGAATTATGTTTAAAACACTGAATTATTTTATTTACTTCCAAGCATCATCATTTCCTGATATGACTTATTTTTAACATCACTGAGTTTCCTTA